TGGACTTGAGATACCTTCCCCCAAAACACCAGTGGACAAAAAGAAGCAGCCACCTTTGACAAGTGTTTTAGACTTTCTCCTTCGGGCTAAAGGATCTGTCTGTGTGGATGGGAGCAGTCCTGGGCAGCAAACAAAAAGCCAGTATCACACAAAGAAATCCATCAGCAGCTCCAAAAGCTATAATGAAATAAGTTCTATTTGCTATCATGAAACTGAAAATTTATATAATGAAGAGTATGTATGTGTGTATACACACACACACACACACACATATATATATATATATATATAGGCTGAGCATCAACAGATACCCATCTCACATACCAATGCTGTTGTCTAGAACAGATCCTTTCAGAGTAGATTGTTTTCTGGGAATAATGTTCTATATCTTCTGATAGGGACCTTTGAAGGCCATCTAGTCCAAAATCCTTCCAACAAACAGGGACATCTTTAACGAGACCAGGAGCAGGGCAGCCAACCACTTCTCAGGACAACCTTCTTCACTGTTTTATCTCCCTTATTAAAACTTCCTTATTTCCAAGCTAATCCAACCCCCTTTCGTCCCCCTATCACAACAGGCCCTGCTAAAAATTTGCTCCCATCTTTCTTACAGGGGAAAATATGCACAGTCTTGACCTTTTGGTGTCTGGCAGCCTGAGGATATGGTGGACCCCATGTTGATCCTGAGGTGCCTGCTCTTCCCTTTGTTTCTTCCTCTAATGGAGCACTAATGAGTGCAATTATGTGCCTTTTGGATTATTAATCTACACACAAGAATGCAGTCCTGAACCTTCAGAAAAAGCCATCCCACTCATAGTTTTAAGATACGACATGACCCTGATGAGTCCTGCCCTGCATCCAGCTCATCAGACCCTCCAGGAAGAGGTGAGGTTTAAGGGTGGCAGTGTGGCTGTGGAATGAGGTCAGCTGCTGCCTCTCCCAGTCTCACCTTTCCTGTGTGGAAAACAGGATGTCACTCAGTGATGTCTCATGCCTTTCCCCCAGTCAGACTGAGAAATGGGGACACTGCACATCCTCTTACACCACTCAGCTGCAAAACTGGTGTGGGGCTTTGAATAATTAACAGCAACGACCAGCCGTGGCTGCTTACAGGAGTCATCAAGAGAGATTAGCTGGAAGCAAGTACTGATGCTCTTAAACTTCTTATGTCTACAGATGGCCTTGTTTTTTTCCCTCCTGTTTCATTTAGCACCAAATTCTCCAGGTGCTTACAGGGCAGAGCTGTACCAGGGGCTGGTCCCCACTGCAGCTCTGCTCCCCACGTTGGCATAACTGCCCCAGCTCGATGCCATCAAGTTCAAATTCCCTGGATTTTGTTTGCTGTGCCATAAAAAGAACATGGTAGCTGCAGTTCATCATGCTAAATCATTTTAGCACCTCCTTTACCCTACACAGACTTCCAGTGCTGAGAGCACATTTGTATTTTTCTCCTGCTACTTTGGATTTGTACAAAAAATGCCCCAATTTCCATTTATTTGTGACAGAATATTGCCTGTCTTCTTGTTTTATCTTTTCAGCTTAAGAAAAATAACATAGGACATGATCACCACTAACAAGACAGCACGTTCTATATAACTTCTCCTGCTGTGTTGTTTTATTTACCAGCTTTCAAATCCCTAACCTTCCTCTCTCCAACTTCCTTTTAAATGAAAGGATCCTCTTGTCTCTGTGAAGTTCTTATCATCTGCACTGGTTTGCGTGTTAAAGTTTCAGCATCCATTTAATCAGTGATGGTTATTCTGCCTAATGACTCCTATACCCCTGCTAATACTCTTTTATCTGGCTCTAATATTTTAAGATCTTGTCTAATATTAATGCTAAATGCTAATATTAAAGATTTGCTACTAATATTTTAAGCTCTTGCTGGCAGTGTACTAATGTTTGGGGAGGTTCTTGGGAGTTCATTGTATTGGAATGGATACCACTGGATAAATTCTAACAGCCCTTAGGAGTATAGCATAGAAATCTAGGCAAAATAACTGGAATAGAGGGACAGGTTTTAGCAATTTATTTATGGAGTATCCTGCCAGCAACGAGCTCAGAATCAGGTTGAAAATGTATGTGTGTGTGGGCATGTGAGTGTGTGCATCTCTGCATCTCTCCAATAAACCAGGATAGGGAAAAATAACCCAAATAAATCAGGATAGAGGAAAAAAAAAAACCATTGTGAGGCAGGGGTGGGGGACACCTGCAGCCTCTCCCCCACTGGGTTCCAGGCAGTGCTGCCACTCCAGGTGATGCTGCAGGGACAGGGAAGGAGGTGGCTGCTGTCCCACAGTAATCCCAGCCCTGCATGACAATTCCTTCAGTATTGCTACTTCACCAAGTTTTTCTATATATCTACAGACAGCCACGTTTATCTCTTGGCAATAGAACATCCTAAAGGTTTACAGAGGACTAGGAAAAAAAATATTTTAAAAAAAATTAAACTAAAACCTCCCTAAACCTCCCTTATTTCAATATCAGTTTATTGACACGAACCTCTGCCACAAGCAAAGGGAGAACAGAATCCACTCTGCCTCTGAAGAACAACCTCCTCCACTAAAAATAAAATACAGTGCAGCATTTATTTCACCACGGTTTAAGAGTTAATGAAAGATTTGCACCTGTACAGCTGTTGCAGACTGAAACGAGCTTGTGGAGAGAATGTGTTTTCTGGTTGAGACAGTTGTAAATGCCTTGAGTAAAAACACTGAGGACTGCTAATGGATAGGTTTATTTTAAAGCATGCCATCTGCTATCAATCATAGAGAAGTATAGGAAGCAAGTTTGGCTGTGCTCCCTCCTTGTGAGCCTGATAAAGATAGGGCTGTGGTACTCTGGAACATTTAGTACTCAAGAGAATAAAACATCAAACCTACTCAGCAGCTCCACTAACAATAATAAAAATGCCTCTGCCTAAAGGTGACATTCTGAATTTACGATTATTTGTGTCTATAAAGTGTATTCTTTGGCTCCTGACTCATTCTGACTGTCTCACTACAAGAACAATACATTAAGCCTGCCTGAAGTAAATGGAAATCCTATCCTTTTATTAAACCAGCAGCCAGTACCTGAGATGTTCTTATGCCCTGTAGGACCCAAAGAAGGTTTTCTGCTCTGAGTGTTAATTCTTTTGGTAGGATTAAAGTCAACTGCAGAGAAAATGCTTATTTTGTGCACTCAGAACTAAGCCCTTCTCCAGGTAAATGTACTTTTAAAACAATAAGAATAACAACAAGAAAACCCAAGGCAGATTCTGAATATTCAAATACACCAAGCAAAGGCTGCAAAAACTGCAATTTACCCCAATAGCTCATATTTTATGCTACTTAGCATCTGAGGCAGGAAAAGCTTACACTCTGACAACCTGCCCAGGAAAACCCTGCACAAAACTCCCAAAAGGTGTGTGCCAATCTTCCTCCCTAGCTCTGAACTTCACATCTGCTGAAATTCTCCAGAACTGAATCCAGGGAATTTTTTTTTAATATATTTTTTTTCTCTTTTATTTTTTTTTTCCTACCCTGCATTTTCCCCAGAAAAGGCAATTGGAGGATGCAGAGCTACTTCCCTGAGATACACAAGCATTTGGTTAACTTCAGAGGTATGAATCATTCCCCTGGCTAACACCACATCCCTCTTCTCTCATTCACTCTGGTACCCCACTGATCAGGGGCTTTTGAGCCTGCCTGCTTAAAAATAATTAAATATATAACACTTCTTGGCAAATTCACCAGATATAAAAAACACTTAGCAATGGAGCACACCGGATCTGATCACACTGGCCTCCTATCACCTATCTGCAGATTAACAAAATTCCCTTGCAAGCCTGTTGCTCATTGGAAAGCATTGCTGTGGAAGCTTGGGGAAAACCCACCTGGTGATCAAGCTCATGAGCCTAATTAAAGTTAGTAGAGGAATTAAAAGTGGGAAAAAAAAAAAAAATTAGAACAGCAGCATAGAAAAAAAAAAATTAAAAAAAGGAGTAAGCACTAGGAAATAGGGAAAAGATAAAAAGCAATGGGAAAAGTGAGCTTTCCTTTGAAGTCTGCTCTGGAAAGGGATGGTGATTTCTGTCAATGCCCCCCACATCCTGAATTCTTTATACAGCAGGCCATACATCCAAGGAGAAAATCTGAAAGTGGAGGTTTAGACTTACAAAGCACAAAATATTAAATCAAGGCTGATTTTGGGCAGTATTTGCCATTTTGGACCTCAAGAGCTTCACTGTTTTTAAAGTCCATTGTCAAATGACCACTGGTTTCAAAAGATATCTTAATCCCTTTGTCTGAGGAGCAAAAGAACTGAGAAATAAGTTTCTAGGGGAGGATCAAAACTAGTATATACTTGGAATGAGTAAGATGAAAGATTATGAAAAAAGAATTATGAGACTATAGAGACAGAGGAAAACCACAAAGATAGAGAAGATTGTTCTACAGGGAAGTGAATAAACTCTGAGCATGTTGGGAGCAGTCTGCATGGTCACTTGGCTGCAGAAACACAGAAATACTGGAAACAATGCAGGAATATAGGAAAGCAAAGCTCAAGTAACAGGAAAAACTGGAAAACAGGCAGTTATCAAAAATTCCATGCTCAGCAACACCTGGGGAATAAATCCCTGTAGGTACTTCTCACCTCTAAGAAAGGAATTACAAATTACTCCCTATCAAGAGCAACACCCCAACTCATAAGGAAATAAATAAAAATTACCATCTCTTTACTGAGCTCTGTACCAAAACCAGTCTGTTCCATGCTCCAAGAGGGACAGCGAGTCACACAAGGGCACATCATAACACCAAAGTCACAGACCAGTCACAAACATTAAAACCTCCAGCAAAAAGAGTTCACCAAAACTCCAGCTGATCAAAAAATTACTATAGCATTGAAACTTTCACAGAGACCTAGCGTTTTCTCAAAAAATGTCATTGCCAGGATTTTAAGTCTGGGATGAGGGGCTTGGATAGCCAGAGGAAAGACAGAGGAAGCCAATCCAGACTCACCCATAGCCTGATGAACACGCCCAGGGATGGCGGGAGGTCCAGGTCCAAATCCCAACTCTGAAGACATTCCCAACATTGCTGACAACATCCAGAAGGAAAGATGTGCTCCATAGCCTTGCTCCACGACATTATGCAGGGAAAAAAAAAAAAATAATTCTCAAGGTTTTCTTTTTTTCTGTCTCACAAGAAATGGAAACAAATTTAAAAGCTTGAAAATTTTTCATGGCATAGACTCCTGTCTGTGGCCAGCCCTAGCCCCATGCTGCCCAGAGGTTCACAGGCACCCTGCTCCTACCAGAGCTCTCATGGTGAACTCCCCATCTTGTGCACAAACTTAACAGGATCATTTTAGACTCGCACAGAACATTTTCCTGTGAAAGCTCGCAGGCTCGGAGCAGCTTGTCACCAGAGTTCAAGTCCCTGGCACACAGTTCATTGCAGCTCTAATGAAAAAGCACAATGATGGAGCCTGCATTGCTAAGATTAGACATTAGTGGCTGTATCAAGAAGAGAAATACCTGCAGATTAGCAGAGCAATTTGCTGCTCTAAATCTGAACCTTCTAATCTCTTTTTTTTTAAAGTAAGTAGCAGCCCATGAACATGGGAGCAGAATTAAAACTGCATTTACTAAGTGATTTCTAAAATACTTCAGCATGTGTTTTAGAAAACTGACAAGTCATTAAAATATAGTTAATAAACATTATTCAGAACTCGTTGCTTTAGATTAACACTGCTTCAAAATCACAGGCATTGATTGGTTCATTGCACTGCTGCAAGAGGAACGCTGGCTGTTGTCCATTCCCTGTAGAAGGAAACATGATGGTCAGCTCGGAGTTTACCTTGCATCTGTATTTTCTAACTGTAAAAATATTTCAGAAATATTTGCAAGAGGCTTTAAATTTGGTATCCTGGCCACTGAGGGCATGCACAGAGACTGTAATCACAGGTAAAAAACATGGAAAGATTGAAGGGTGGCAACAGACTGAGATAGTTGGGGTTGTTCAGCCTGGAGAAGAGGTTTTGGGAAGACCTTAGAGCCACTTCAAGTGCTTAAAGGGGTTTCAGGAGAACTAGAAAGGGATTTTGCGCAAGGGGGAATAGCTTTAAGCTGAAGAAGAGTAGATTTAAATTAGATTTTAGGAGGAAATTTTCCCTGTGAGTATGGTGACACCCTCTCACAGGGTGCCCGGAGAAGCTGTGGCTGTCCCTGGATCCCTGGAAGTGTCCAAGGCCAGATTGGATGGGGCTTGGAGCAGCCTGGGATAATGGGAATTGTCCCTGGCAGGAAGGCTGGAATAAGATGAACTTTAAGGTCCCTTCCAACCCAAAGCATTCTATGATTCTAAGAACACTAAAACAGGAGCAGAGATAGCAGCACCATTTTCAGTGACCAATTCAAAGGAACCTGAAGTCATGAGCCATTTTTGATCAAACGTAGGTGAGAACCATCATGCACAGCTTTCACTGATGACAACATTTTAAAATTTATTGTGTGACTGTCAAGAAATTTTCTCTTTTAGAAGCTCTGACTTGAGCCAACTGGAGCTGACTGATTTTCTTATTTCATGAAACCGTCATCAGCTCAGATACTTTGGGAGAAACAACTCAGGCACAGCTCTCAACTCCGGACAATTGCTGGTGACCCAAAGCCACCAGATGAGCTCCACCATCAAGTGCCCTCCCTGCTGCAGAGGACAGCAAGCTGGTTTTGATGTTGTTTGCTGATATTTTTAAGAAAAGGGAAGGGTTTAGTGAGGTATTGGTATTTTGAGAAGAGGTTGATCAAACTCTCTAAGACAGCCCCTCATCCTGTTTTAATTTTTTTATCCAAGTACGGCAGGTCAAACTCCAACAGAAGAGAGCTGAAACTGAGAAGAGAGACAATGCATCTTAAAAATGAAAACATTGCTATTCAGAGTTGACACAGTAATGCAGCTAAAGGGAAAAAAATCATGGCTCAGTAAGAATTCTGCCTATCTAACTTAAGCTAAGATAAATATTTGCAAATGCTCTTAATGACCATTTTTAATCACTTGCAGGGTTTAGTGGAAGCTTTCTTTTGTTTTGTTGTTTTTTTTTTTTTTCTAATAATAAACTACTTCATATTCAGAAATGTCTGTAACCTGGTGAATGGTTTTGATTTATGACATCTCTCAGACATGAGAATTCTGGTTTTGAAAGCTGAAACATGAGAGAGATCCAGATCCTCCAAATGATTTTATTTTTCATTCTTTTAAAATTACTTGGAGTGCAAAGTCTTTCACCATTTCATATTGCTACTTATAAGGAAAAAAGAATAACACCTTTCACCTACTAAGATCATTTGAGTGATACCAGCAAATTTCTGCTTTGAAGGTCCTTATGGGTGTGATTAAACCCATTTTACCTTCCTTGATCCAGGGTGCCATTTTTTGGGGGCCACAAATCTCCATGAAACTCTACAAACCTATTCATTTCCTCCCTTCACCATTGTGGCTTGGGCATCCTTGTTCCATGGGGCTGAGCAGAGGAAGTGGTGGAGTCACGGAGTATCCCAGATCAGAAAGGATCCACCAGGATCATCGAGTCCAGCATCAGGAAGCTTTAGCAGAAAGAGAATCTGAGAGAGATGTCACACACATGTGGGGGCTGAGATTGGAGCAAGGGTGAAGGGTGACTCCTCCAGTGACACATCTCAATGCAGCAGGGATATTCTGAGGATGTGGGAAGCTGCTCTGAAGAACACAAGGGAAACTGACTGTTTGAAAAGAAAAAAAAAGTAAAAAAAAAAAAGAAAGAAAGGAGAAAACCAAATCTTTAAGAAAGTCAGAAGTGCAGCTCAAGGTCTTGTTTTCCTTAGCCCAGTGGTGAAGGAAAATTGTTGTCAGAAGCACAAGTATTTAAACAGCCTCTGACAGCAAGGAAGCAAACGACTACTTCTGCCAGTGACCGAGGAGAGCTCAGCTGATTCACATCCAGCCCGGATCTGGGAACACTCTCTGGAACAAAAAATCCCTCTCCTCAGCCTCTACAGTACCTGTCTCATCAGCCACGGACCAAACCTCAAAGCTCCTGATGCCATGAGAGTGTTCCCACTTGGCTCTGGGCTGCCTGGTCCCCAGGTGGAGGGTGGCAGCGGGACCCACTCGCCGTGGGGCTGAGCCACGGTCCCGTGGCATCTTCTGCCCCGCTCCTTCCAGCACTTCCCAACAAGCCAAGGGTGCACAAACATGTGAAAATATTCCTCGCCCACTCCCAGCCACGTTGAAAAGAAACCTGTTGTGGTTAAATGACTCGGTCAGTTCTTCAGGGATTTTCCAAGGTTTCCTATAAAAAGAAATCTGTGGGAAATGAATGATTGCATAATCGCTAACACATGCCAATTCATCTAAGCCTATTATCTTTTATGGCATTTTGTACTCTATTGTCCTTACTCTGGTGAGTTTCTCTCTTACAATTCTTTTCTTTATTAAATTATTTGCACATTTTGCTCTCTCCGACCCTTTTGCATCAGTGGGATACTTAGCATCTCCATAAGGAAAGAAGTCAAAGACAAATGGTCCCACTACTTTTTCTCACATCATATTTTTCCCACCTTCACAGGAATATCTCAACAACAATCCCAGTGAGAATGTGAAAGGCCTGTTCAAGTGAGAAGCTGGGTCTTGGTGCCACAAAAAATAATTTTTTTCTTAAGCAATATGCATTTTTACAGGGGTTTTCTAAGGTCCCTGACAGAAATGACCAGTATTCATAGTTTTAAAATTGCATAGTCCCTTGAAAATGCTGCAAGTTGCCTAAAGGTCATAATTTCTTAGAAACAAACCCCAAGTGTCTTGGAAGTCTTAATTACACTGCATTTCAATTGGATTTAGGCTGCTAAACCACAGGTTTTAATAGGAATTTCAGATCTTTAAAAACCTTTTGATTTTCAACTTTAAGACCCTGACACTACCTGAAAGCTAACTAGGCATTCACCTTTAGAATTAATATTTAATCATGTTTTGAGTGGGGTTTTTTCACTTTTGGGTTTTGTTTTTTTTTCAATTTTGAACTCTTCCCAAGGACAACAGGTCTATAAATGCATTCATCATGGCTAAGCACTCACCTCTCCACAAGGTGTAGCCTCTGGCATCATTGCATTTTTAAATAAGGGAAAAGTGGAGATTTGAAATCTCCTGTGCGATTGAGGAGATACAAGACCTTTTTTCCTAAAATCCCAGATATTGAGAGGAATTATCACTGATGACTACTAACCACAGAGCTCTAAGACCTGGGAAGAGCCCTGATCAGCTGCAATAATCTTTAAATTAAACTAAGAGGTAACCCCCATAATCTTAACGGGAGAGAGGAGACTGCACAGCAATAATGGGCTCTAGGGACATTCAGGCAGAGAATAAATGAGCTACAGGTTCACTGAGCAAGGCCCCTAACCCAAATCATGAGGTGGGACAGCCAAGCTTTAGTTATACCACTCATCTCTGCATTGAAAATCCAGTTCTTAGAGCAGATCTGTGTGAATTTTCCCCAGAAATTCAGCAGGAAAACAGGAGGGTTGGGGAGAGACCTCAATTCTTCATCTCCCAGAGCAGGGCAACTGCACCTTAGGGAAAGAAGCAGAATTGGCCTGGATGTGAGACGGGAGGTTAATGGGGACCAGATCTGGGGGTGCTGAAGACAGGGAAGAAGAGGAGCAATGATCAAATACTGAATAACAGTGCAAACAGGGGAATGCTGTGCTGTTACACAACATCCTCCCAACCATGCAAACACTCCGTGTTCCTGCAGCAACTCAAACAAAAAGCAGCTCTGTCCACTCTTTTTGCCATTCTTGAGATAAAAATGTCTTAGACTCCATCTCCCTTTGAAGAGGGACAGCCAGCAAGTCCCCAGTTTCCTGACAAGTTTTACCAACTCTAGGAAGCCAACCGGATCTACTCTTAATTTACCTCTGACTCCCAGCAAGCAAGGGTAGAAAAGTTTTATATCAAGAGCCAAAATATGTGAGGCCAACAAAGTCTCTATGAATCAGATCAGCTTTCCAGAAAAAAATAAGGTTATATCCATTGCCCACAAGAGCAGGTTTTCACAGACAGAAATACCCATTTTGGTTCTCCTATACTATTTTAGGTGTTCCTTTGACATGTACATTTCTGAAACCAAATTGAATTTTCTTTTCATCAGAAATAATTTGCAAGACTATTTGGCAACATTCACACCGTGCAAGTGTTTTCTTGTTGTCAAGGGCTCCTGAGGATCTCCAGCACCTGTCATCCTCTGCCAGCATCAGCCTTTCCATATGGGCAGGTCTCCAGAAAAGATTATGGGCAGTGTAAAATCCACCCATCTTAAATCACCATTTCTCTGATGTACATCAGGGGTTCAGAGAGGAGAGTCCATTCAATTTTGTTGCTCCTTTCTTCATTTTCCCTTCAAAAACAGATTCACTAATATTTCTGTCAGTCTTGTAAGATCTGCTCTGTTTGGTTTTTTTTCTATTAGCTGACTATCCAGTCCATTGGTAACATTTTAACGCACTTTATCAGCCTATATAATTTTATAATCATTTTGTTGTTTTCACTAAAAAAAAAAATGTAACTAGTCAGACACCTAATGCTACTTAAGTGCAAATAAATTTTT